AAATTCACAATTACCATCTGCAAAACAAGATGCTGGGGAACAGCAGAAGTTGTCCCAACAGCCTGGGACAACTGTCCTGAGCTGTTGGTCCAGGGGCAGCTGACACAAGAGCTCCCCCGATTCCAGAACAGGGAGGCTTCACTCTCGCCTCCCTTCTCCCCATCCTCCCCCAGTCCATTCCTCTTCCTCACGCCCGCTCTGAAGCTCATTCGATTCTTCTGTAATCTGGTGCAAATCACCCGTGCGGAAGAACGTTAATCAAACGGGAAAAACGAACTGGTTTCTACCATGGCCATCAGCTCATCTCACTCACCGGGACCTCCGGGACACAAACGGGAGTGAGCACCGAGAGACCAGAACCAGCACAACCGCGAATCCACCTTCTGCAGCCGACGAGCGATGCCAAGGGCTCGCTGTGCCGCGCCTCACGGCTGCGTGACCGCGCGCTTGGCACGTCCCGTGCGACCGCATCCGCTGCCAGAGCGGCACATCCCGCCCCGCAGGGCCGACTGCTCCACACCCAGCTCTGCCTTGGCACGGGCAGGCACGGCCCGGTCCTTACCCTGTGCCGCTTGCCCTGGAGCTTTGTCCGCGCGATTTCAGAGCTGCTGCGCCGCGCTCCCCGGCGGCGCACGCGAGCGTAGTTGGCTTCCTGGAACTCCTTCATCTTCTTTCTCTGCAGCCGAAACTGATGGCTGCAGCTGACGTTGTACCTCAAATCAAGCAGAAGCAGAGCAGCAGTTAAGAAACAGAAACCATCTAAACCTGCTGCTGCTCCTCGCTCTAGATGGAGATGAAACTCCTCTTTCCCATCAAGTTCTGTTCCTCCTCCTTCTAAGACTTTCCCTTGGAAGGGACCAGTCCAGACTTCTGACACAAGCAATATTTGGACACCAGATTCTTGATCTAACATCTGAAGGGTCAATTAAGTCATTCCCCTAAGGGAAAAAGACCCGTAACAAGCACTCTGCTCTCAACAGAGGCAGCAATGACCAGCCTAACTTCTCCCTAGGCTTTTTCCCCAGTGCTCCCTTGCATCTTTGTCTCGTACCGATGCAGCAGACAGCTCCCAGTACGCATTCGTTGTGGAGCCCCAGAACTTCCCCTTTCCCACTTCATTTTGTGAGCAAGTTTCATTCAGAGTCCTAAAGGATCTCTGTGGCCAGTGTGTCCCGCGGAGGGAGGATCGGATGAAGTGTTGAACCTCTGGAGAAGGGGCACATGCCCAGTTCCAGAGAATGTATAGTCAGAGAAAAGGAAGGTTCTGTCTTGCGATTACCTTTTAGCACAGGTCATGGAACAAAACCTCTTGGAGCCACGGAACTGGGTTGCTGGGGCATACTTCCCACAGTATTCACACTTCAGCAAGTTCGCCTTCTTATCAAGCTCTGGTGAGATACGGAGATACACACCAGTTGATGATCTGAACTGAGGCAGGTCACACACTATTCCCCGTTCCACCACTCTTCTGCTGAGCAGACAGATTCCGAGCACTGCGCTCTACTGAATCTACCGAGTGGTTAGCTTGGGGAAGCAGCTGGGGAAAGAGAGGCAGCAGCTCTGCTAGGCAGGGCCCCAGGATATTAGGGGTTAGTTCCCCTTGTCAGCACCATTCCTCTGAACAAGCCCCAAATACATATTCCTCACATCCTACAAGGCTGTGGGGGAGATCTCCATCACTCCACTCTGCTGCGTCCACACATCCTCCACAGCCTTCAGACTCATCAGAGACAGGTACAGTTCAGATTCTCCAGCTTACTACTGACATGGGGTGTGTTAGCTCGTAGGAACAACAACAACAGTATTGTGTTCTGGAACTCAGGCAAAGGAGATCCTGTGTCCATGGCTTGAGTCTCTGAGGAGGCCGCAGGAAGGGATGCAAGTCCATAACGGACAAAGTTAGTAACCAGAGTATCAGAGAGCAGAAGAGGCCTCCTGGTGCTCAAACTCACCCATAGAAGCACTGTCCCCTCCCGGAGAATTGCTGGACAAGTTTTCACTCTGGGCAGAAGGAGCCTCTCCCTGCAGCGGTTTCTCAGGTTCTTTCAGCAGCTGAGAACATCCCACCTGGACAGGAAGAGAAAGAGTTGGGCCCATGAGTAAAGGATTCTCTGCAGCCACCACCCTGTGCGAGCTACATGCCCCTTGTACCTTGTTACAGCTCAGAGGAATCCCTCTGCCTGTGAGGGAAGGAGAGATGCTGAGCAAAGGTATCGCTCCTTCCCGACTCGCGGGCTTGGCGGTTCATTCAAAGATCTCTAAGAACTCTCTGCCTCCAATATCCTGCAATTCCACGGAACCGCGTTTCCCCTTATCTGCTTTAACTTCACTTGCTGCTTGTTCAAAACACAGTGCGTTTTCCCCCTCACTAAAAACCAGAAGGAAGAACCTTCTTAGAATTGCTGCATAAGTTCTTGCTTTGAGGACTACTTGGAGAGAACAGTTCCCATCATGCTTGTTTTACTGCTTCCAACCCATTCTCTTCCACGCCACCCCTTAACGCCTTGCTTCACCCACAACCCCTCCCTCCTTCCCCTTCCTCTTCACTGCTTGTGTCTCAGGCCAAAAATGCTGACTTGGAACATGAAGAAACTCCTGGCCAAAGATGGAAGCCCAGCGCCCTCCCAGGAGAGCGCTACACCTCCTTTCCCCCAGCAGAAAATCCTTACTGGAAAGGGCTCTGCTCCTTCCTGAATGACAAAGCCCTCAATGATGTGTGTGAGGATCTGGGGTTTGACGATGGCTTGCGGGGGCTTGGAGTCTCCCATCTGACGTGACACCATGGCCAGGTTTGGGGTGGGAGCAGAGGTGGGGGTGACTGATGCTCCTTCACCTGCGGTGGTATTTGGGGTTGCAACGGCAGCAGGATCAGATTTATCTAGAAAGTCAACAGCACCAGAGTCAGCTACCTTTGCTCCATCTCCTTCAAACGGAACACGAGGTCAGAGCTCTCCTTTGTACCTCACCTCCAAGGCCACTCTTCTCCTCCGTGCTTTTGGGGCTGTCGGTCACAGGAGAGGACCTGGCAGGCAGGAGCGCAGCGACTCCGGGCGACTCCTCCTTCTCCTCCTCTGGCTCTGCCTTGCGCTTCACTGCCACGGTCTGCGACTTGCCCTGCGGAGCACAGAAGAACAAACAGAGCCAGTTCCAGTCGGCTCCAAGACGGCCCCGCTCTGAGCCCACCAGTGACACTGGTAGCACCCCTGGGATATTTAAGAAAGGTAAAAAATACTGCGCAGCACCAGCTGGGAGAGACGAGTGTGACAGAAACAGCCCTGCAGACACCAAGGTCAGTGAAGAAGGAGGAAGAGGAGGAGGTGCTCAGGTGCTGGAGCACAGATTCCCCTGCAGCCCGTGGTGAGGACCATGGTGAGGCAGGCTGACGCCCTGCAGCCCATGGAGGTACATGGTGGAGCAGAGATCCATGGAGGAGATCCAGACAGCCTGTGGAGGACCCCACGCCAGAGTAGGTGGATGTTCCCAAAGGAGGCTGTGACCCCATGGGAAGCCTGTGCCGGAGCAGACTCCTGGCAGGACCTGTGGCCCCACGGAGAGAAGCCCATGCTGGAGCAGGTTTGCTGCCAGGACTTGTGACCCTGTGGAGGACTCACGCTGGAGCAGTCTGTTGCTGAAGGACTGTACCCATGGAAGGGACCCATGCTGGAGCAGTTCGTGAAGAACTGCAGCCTATGGGAAGAACCCACACTGGAGAAGTTCATGAAGGACTGTGTACCATGGGAAGGACCCCACGCTGCAGCGAAGGAAAAGTGTGAGGAGGAAGGAGCAGCAGAGACAAAACGTTATGAACTGACCTCAACCCCATACCCTGTCCTCCTGCACCGCTCAGGGGAGGAGGCTGAAGACTCAGGAGTGAAGTTGAGCCCATGAAGAAGAGGGGGGGGGGTGTTTTTTAGATTTGTTCTTATTTCTCATTATCTTACTCTGATTAATTGGCAATAAATTAAATTAATTTCCCCAAATCTAGTTTGTTTTGCCTGTGACAGTAATTGGTAAGTGATCTCCCAGTCTTTATCTCGACCCACGAGCTTTTCCTCATATTTTTCTCCCCAATCCTGTTGTGAAGGGTGAGTGACAGAGCAGCCAGCCCAGTTCAACCCACCACACTGTTAAACGTGGTGTTTAGTACGTGCTGTGGGCACCTACCTGATCTGGGTCAGGCTCTGAGTCTCACCTGTTCACTTCAAGCAAGCCTCTGAATGATAACGTGGAAGAGAAACACTTGTAGTCGGTAACGCCAAGGGTTGGACTGGAATTAGCGTTTGAGAGGAAAAAGTCTCCACATCCCTTTACCTGAAGCCCTTACCCATCCCATCCCACTGCCCTGGGCCTGGGCTGCGAGTGCTGTGCTGGGAATGAGCAAAGACAATCCACAATCCACAGTCCACTCCTTCTCAACAGTGTCACTTACTGGCAGCTGGACAGACTGCATGTAGAACGCTGCCGGCATCTGCGCCACGACCGGAGAGGAGGCTGGGCTCTTCATGTGGGCTGTGCCTTGAACTTGTGCCAAATTCACCCCTGCGGTGAGCGGAGGAGCTTCCTGCGAGGATGCTGGAGCTGAAGATGACGCCGGAGAAGCAGCATGGGCTTGGGAAACCGGCTGGACCACAGCTGACATCCCCCGGGACGTCGGCACCGCTGCGGCGATCTGAGCCAAACCCAGCGCCTGGGCTTGGCCCGAGCCCTGCTGCCGCGTCCCCACCACCTGCACCGGGATGTGCGGCGGCGGCTGCTGCGCTGCGGACATTTTGGCAGGTCCCAGCTGAGGCGGTTTGATAGGGGCGACCAGAGATTTTGACTGAATGGGCACAGGTGACTTGGTGGCCGGCTGGCAAGGACTGTCCTGCTGGAGCTGCATGGGCTGCGGCTGCGACTGCAGCATGGGCTGCACCACCAGGGTCTGAGCCTGCTGCTGGTTTGGAGGTGGAGGCTGCTGCGGTGGAGGCTGAGCTTGCTGCTGCTGCTGGGTCAGAGATGGGGCTTGCTGCTGCTGCTGCTGGGCCAGCTGGAGGTGAGTGGCTGTGTGGAGGAGCTGGGACTGGCGGTGCTGGAACTGCTGCTGGTGGTGAATGGCGATCTGCTGCTGGATCA